CCCCTGCTACCCTCCCCCCTGCTATCCCCACCCCCTGCTTTCCCTACCCCCTGCTACCCCCATCCCCTGCTAACCCTACCCCCTGCTGGGGGAGAATGAGTGCTGATACACCAGCTAGGCATTAGGACACTGTCAGCCTGGAATGCTTGCTTGGGGGCTTCCTCATTCTGAGCTGTAATGAAAACAGACAGAATTCTCAGCTTCACTCAGCATTCGTCATCCAAGAACCTTGACTGTTTATTGTGAGGTGATTTTGTCCACTGGTTGACATTGCTTTCATCTTCGCTCACTAGGCTCACTTTTGCTGGCATTGCCCTATCAATAAGGGCATATAGTTTCTCATCGCCCAGGTAAATTTCTATACCTGAGATCTGCAAAATGATCAGGACTCTAATAGGGTGGACTGGAAATGCCTTATTCACCACGAAGATTGTACAGCAAACAGTTCACTTGTTTTTAACTCTGTGGATATGAAAAGAGAAAACCCCTACTCCATCCTCCACTGCTCAATATAGATCAAACCCTGGATCTCCTAATTGCTAGGCAGGTGACACCACTGAGCTACACCCATAGCCCGCTATCTCATTTGTAAACAGCAGTTTGCTATCCTATTGGTTAGAGTTTTGTACAAGAAAACCTTTAAACAAGTCCCAGGTTTAAAGCAACTCGGTTCAGGATTGTAGTGGCCAGTCTCCAGAAGGGCCAATCTCCAGAAGGGCCAGTCTCCAGAAGGGCCAATCTCCAGAAGGGCCAGTCTCCAGAAGAGCCCTCTTTACTTCACAGTATCTCATCCCCTCTCACATGTCACAGGATTAAACTGTCACCAGCAAACTAAACATTTGTGCTCCATCCATATCTAAAGTCCTAACCTCCAATGTGGTGGTCTTAGAATGGGCCTTTGGGGGTGCCTAGGTCTAAGTAAGGCCATGACAGTGGAACCCACGTGAGCTTGGTGCCTTTGTAAGAAAATGGTGACACAACAGAGCTTCCTGGTTCTCCCACATGAGGACACACGCAGGAAGAGGACCTTCACCAAAAACCAAATTGGCCAGCATCATGATCTTGGCCTTCCCAGCCTTCAGATCTATAGGGGAAAAAAAAAAAAAAAAGAACGTTGTTCAATCTGCCTGGTCTGTGTATGTTCCTATAGCACCTTGAGTTAAATTCAGAGTTGAGACCTCTCAGGCCATGCCATTAGACAGACTGCAGCCTCCACCTTGTCCTCTCTCTCTAGGAATGTGAGGACTGCCGCCAGCCGGCTTACTGTGAAGAGATGTACACAGCAGAGGCCTGAGTGGGGGAACAGGGCCTCTCCAACAGCCCTCACCATGTGAGTAAGTCCTCACAGAAGAGCCATCTGCTAGTCTCACTCAAGTGCATGGAACTGAAATGCAACCGGCGTCTTGAACTCTGACCTGCAGCTTTTTGAGACATCTGGATCCAGAATCACTCAGCTAAGGTGTTCATGAATTCCTGGTCCGTACTGTAAAAGAAAGAAAATGTTTACTGTTGTTTTGAACAACTAAGTTTGGGGTTAATTTCTAGCTAATAGACTTTTTTTTAATTCAAATATAATTGAAAATAAATTTCCTAATAGGAATGACTAAGGAATCTGCATATTCTCAACTCCTCAGAGTTCACATGAAACTGCTGGACACAGCTCTTGGGCCAAACTCCATGTGCAGTCTACAGGTCACAGTGGTTCCCAGATCACACTGTTTTGTTTTGTTTTTCCCAGTGTTTACTTTTCCACACTTAAAAGTTGAATTCATTAGATGTAAGTTTATGGTTACTATTTTTCTGATGATAGAATGTGGTACCATTGGGTCTGCCACACGTGATGAAAACCGTTAGACGGGGCAAGGGCAGCTGCCCAGATTGTCTCCAGTTTACACGGACTCCACTACTCCATTGACCTCCCCTGTTTCTTACTGGGGCATCCAGGGAGCTTGACCTTCACCAATGTACCGGGAGCAGCTAAGGGTGACACTCTTAATATTCCTGGTCACCCTGACTAGCTTATTCCCTGCCATGCAGTAAGCCCTAAAACGGGTTTATCCACTTGTAAATATATATTATTGGCCATTTTGTTTTGAGAACTTTTATAGTTTTACACCTATTTCTCAACATTAGTTGTACTAAAAGTATAATTACTTGGCCTCATTTATAACTGTTAGTGTGACAAGTTACCTTTCAGAAATGTCCCCATAAGTCCCCTTTGAATTTCTGTATAATCGCTTAGCTCTTGTAATGTCTCTGCTTCTAAGTCAGTATAAATTTAAACTATGGCAGGTGTGTGTGCTTGTGAGTACACACATATGCTGAAGATTAAACCTAAGGTCTTATGCATACTATGCCCACACTATACTACTGAGCTATATCCCTCAGCCTATGTTCCATTTTAAAAATCCATTTCTTACATCTTTCCATTAAAAAGCTCTGGAATTGATGAGCTTCAGTTGTAGAAAAAGATGCATATGGGAGAAATGACTGACTCAAAGTCTAAAATCAAAGACGTGCATGAGCCTGGTCATACTAGAAAACAAGGCAACTGTGCAAGATTGTTTCTTTGGGAAACATGTCTACATCTCCCCAAGTTCATAGGTGGAAACTCAAATCTCAGTGTGGTGAAATTTGCAGGTTGGGACTTTGGGAAGTAATTAATGAAGGTGAGACCTTTTATGAGTGAGGTTAATGTCTTTACAGAACAAGGCAGAGACCAGAACTATTTCTCTCTGCTCCTCATATGTAAGAAGGATATAATCCAGGAAAGAAGCTCTCTCCAGGAACTGAGTCAGCCAGCACATTGATTTAGATACTCAGAACTGTATGTTTCTGTAGCTTAAGCCATCCAGGCTATGGAAAAGTCATTCGTCATTTAATGACAAAGATACATTCTGAGAAATGCATCATTTAGTGATCTCTTCATTGTATATACATCATCAAGTATACTTGCACACACGACTTGCATAGTATCTGTTTTGCTGGGATAGAAGGGCATGGCAGAGAAGTTGGGTCACACATGATCAGTTGGTAATATGTGTGTCCTAATAATGCATGAGTACCCTGGCTTTTCGCTATGGATCACAAATGGCTTCAACATTGTCCCAAGCAAGATTCTTTTCTTGTTTTTAAAATTTCTGAAACATGAAGTTAACTTGCCCTATAGAGAAAAGACCTTTCAAACATGTGTCTCTGTGAGAGTAGGATTTTGTCTAAAGCAATGGTTTTCAACCTTCCTAATGCAACAACCCTTTAATACAATTCCTCATGTTGTGGTGACCCCAACCATACAATTATTTCATTGTTACTTCATAACTACATTTTTTCTACTGTTGTGAATCATAATGTAAATCTCTGTGTTTTTTCAATGGTCTTAGGCAACCCCTGTGAAAGGGTCATTCAATCCCCATAGGGGTTATGACCCACAGGTTGAGAATTGCTAGTCTAGAGAGGAAGTTTGCCCTGGGAAGCAACTTTTCTCCTCCATCAGCTTATCTAGAACCTACCATCCTTCAGCTACCTTCACATCAGCACTTGCATGCACACGACTCACTTTATTTTTTATGAACAATGATTCTTGGATCTTTGAAACCACCCAGACTTAGTACTGAGTTTAACATAAAGGTTGGGTACAGATTTTTCTTTCAGCATTAGAGATAAGCTTTTAGCTTCAGCTGCACTTATCATGGGGCTGGGAGGGATATGATCTCCAATTAGATTACCACCTTATATTTTCTCCATACAGGGCCTTTTGAATTTTTGTTTGTTTCTTTGCCTTCAGTTGAGCAGTTCCTTTAATGGTTTCTAGAGTTTTATTCTTGTTCTTCAAGACTGTGGGTATGGTGGCATAGGACATGTCTGACTGGTGAGCAATGGCCATCACTGACGTCCTGCCACCATAATCCTTAATCACTTTTAATTTCCTTTCCAGGACAACCACTCTATGTGTTTTCTTATTTACAGTATTAGAAGTATGTTTTGTACACATCGGGGTCATTAAGAACAAGAGGCACAAAGTTAAATCAAGGACACAAACGAGAGCTGTGGTGAAAGGTACAGGAGGTTGTTGCCAAAGCAATGTGGCATACCGCTCTTCAGTAAGCTCTTCTCTTCATAAGTAGGAGTATGCTCCAAAACAGCCATTGCCATGGTTAGTTTTAAATACCAACTTGTCACTACCTAGAATCACCTGAGAAGGAAGCCTCAATTGAGGAATTATCTAGATCAGGTTGGCCTATAGGTATGTCTGTGAGGAGTTGTCTTGACTGTTAATTGAGGTGGACAGACTGCCTCTGGATGTGTCACCATTCCACAGGCTAGATCCTGAACTGGAATACGAGTGACAAGAACTAACTAAGCACAAGAAAACAAGGACATATTTATTCTTTCTTTGCTTTGATTGTGGATGTAATGTGACCAGATGCTTGAGTTCCTGCCTTGACTTCCCCCAAATAGTGGATTGTAACATGGAGTTGTAATTCAAATAAAACTTTTATTCCTCTATGTTGCTTTTCTCAGAGTATCTGTCATAGTAGCAGAAATAAAACTATAATAGCCATTAAAGGTATTGTATAGCAAATGCATAAGCCTGTAACACTCCATCACTATCATCACCAAGTATCAGGTACTTACCTAGTTGTGAGTGCTATGCTCTTATACTACCAGCAACTTAGTACATTTGCTTATCCCAGCATCATCACAAATGTGAGTAACTCATTTTGTTTAGACAGGGTTTAATAGCCAAGGTTGGCCTCAAATCATAATCATCCTGGCAGCTTTCTAAGTAGTACAGAAATGGACTGCGCCTAGTTGAGTGATGGTGTTTTGATGGCTATAATACCATCAGGCAATAGGAATTTTTCAGGTCTGTGAGTTCAAGGCCAGCCTGGTCTATAGAGCAAGATCCAGGACAAGCACCAAAGCTACACAGAGAAACCCTGTCTTGCAAAAACCAAAAAAAAAAAAATAATAATAATATTACAAGACCTTTATTTTGTAATTACGAATGGACCAGAGCAAAGAGAACCAGTGGATGCTAGTCACACAAGAGAGACAATGCCACAGTATGTGCCTCCTGGTAGAATGCCATCTATAAAGGGTCATTGCTAAAAACATGGTCTTGAATATGATTAAGACTTAAACGCCAACTTATAAGAGTATGGAGAAGAGGCTTAATAAGCAGTGCCATGGAGATGCAGTAAGCAAAATGAGACTGAAGGCCACTCAAAAGAGCGGTGAGAGAACCCTCAAACTCAGTATAAAACAAGAGGAGTGCTTTCATGGTTCCATGGGTTGGACGGGCTCAGCTAGATAGCTCCTCTACTGATCTTGTGTGGAGTCACTCATAGGGCATCACCAAATTGAGTTGGTGCTGGGTGTTACCTGGGGCCTCATGAGTAAGAAACTGAAACTATAAAGCCTCTTTGAACTATAAAGCTGCACTATATAATTTCAACTAAGTATTATTGGTGGAAGCAAATCATAGTGTCATTTCAGATTAATGAGGATGGAAATACAGAGTGGTGATGCCACACCTAAGAAAGCCACATGGCAACTGGAGGTGTGTCTCCATGGTAAAAAGTATGCTCAGCACACACAAAAGCCCTGGATTTGAGCCCTGATACCACTAAGGAAAAAAAATTAACAAGACAGACAATTCTGAGGCCATCTATCATGGTGTAAATGTGTCTCTCAAAGTTCATACGCTGGAAACTTAGCCTACAGTGCAACAGTTTGGGGCAGGTATGGAGCAGGAATCTTAAAGAGTCTTATTAACAAAATCAAACCTGAGCCAGGTATTGGGGTGGATGCTGGAAGATCAGAGAAGCAGAACAATCCACAGCTACCTCACCTTGCCAATTCCTCAGGTGGTCCGGTTTCCTTAGACTAGAAGCCTCTGAGTCCTCATCCAGAATGAATCTCATCTGAACTGCTGCTAGAAGCCTAAAAGCTTAACCAGCCAAATGCTTCTAGTTCCTGGTCCTCACGCCTTATATATTGTTCTGCCTTCTACCATCACTCCCTGGGATTAAAGGCTCACTCCCTGGGATTAAAGGCATGTGTCACTATGCTGTTTCCAATGTGGCTTTGAACTCACAGAGATCCCAGATGGATTTCTGCCTCTGGAATGCTAGGATTAAAGGTGTGAGTGCCAGCATTTTCTAGCCTAAGTACCTAGTGGCTTTTCTGTTCTCTGACCCCAGATGAGTTTATTAGGGTACACAATATTTTGGGGAGCACAATACCACCACACAGGTAGGATGTGTTAAGAGGTAAGTGGGTATGAGGGAGCCCTTATGAATACAAAATGTCATTGTCTTGGGAGTGGGTTCCTTATCACACAAATGGATCGAGGAAAGTGAGCTCAGCCCCTTCGGCTTGCTTGTGCCTTCTCCTGCCCTTTTATCTTCCATCACAGGAGAGCACAGCACAGAAACCCT